CCGCCCTATATGAGTTTTAGGATTTTTCATGTCGTTTGGGTTTCACCCGTGACTTGGATGTGATCGATCCCAGTCTTATTGGAGCAGTGCAGCAGAGCTACAGTTTGATCTTGGCCAAAAGGCCGAGAAGCGATAGATTAATTAATTATTAAAACGTAATTTACGTCTATATAGCAACGGTCTGTGAATCATAATGTTAACTCATTCCATACAACTTACTATGAGATTAAATCAGCGGGTTAAAATTGGATGAATATTGTCACACCACATGTATGGTGAAATGTGACAAGAAAGAGAAATGACCACTCCACTTCGGTTAGTGACATATTGCGTTAACTGTTAACACATTTCCGTCATTCCAGACGATAGTGTTATAATGTACTATGAGGAAAGGGGGGCAAAGGCATCATACCCTAGGACGTTAACTAGGGGGACTAGCTAGAAAAGTCTACCACACTTAGAGCATTGGATTTCATGACCCTTGTTGTCATTACATGTATTTAGTATGCCTCCTCTCAGACGCTCAGTGCTCTACAGCCCTTGTGTGAATTACTTCTTACATAACTACGGAAATCTGTATGTACTACGTGTCCTGTCGGGTGCTATTTTAATCCACACTATCTGAATTATCACTTCTATTGTTTTTCCTATTATTATCATTTTAAGTTGGATTAAGAACCGATATCCCAGCACTGGGGGATACTCTCATAAGTACCCCGTCCCCATCTTCGGCAGCAAGTTTAAAGTTCCAATAAAGATAGTGCCAGCAGAAGCCTGCTTGTATGCCGTCTTGCCCTTCCTCAGAGTGTTGATTATCGGCCAGATCCCTCGGTCATTCCTCGCTGTGTTTTTCTGTCCAGACGGTGAATATATACGTTATCAATTTAAGTTAAACTCTTTAAAAAGCACACATTTAAAACCTTGAGGTACGACTCCCTTATACTATATATTACATAGGCACATATTTGGCAACACGAAATAGTGATACTGTAATCATCTAAGCATGCGTAATCGGCAGAGAAGGAGGGCTGTCTTGAGTTGTACCTCACCCGAAGGAATCCAGTTGCAAAATCTAATCAAGCATAAATGAGACTGCGAAGAGTTTGCCGGAGTTAAAAGTTGAGGATGATACATAACCTTCTTTCGATAGAAGTATGTCTTTCAGTTATCACAAGAAGTAGTTGCGGCGAAATGCCAAAAAGGACTCAATGCACTCAAAATTATGGCCGTATTTGAATGGAACAAAGAATACTGTTCACAATGCTCCAGCATGTCTTCGATATGTACCTGTACTGCCTACTATTACAAAGTGCTGCGAGTAAAGTTATATCTCAGAGTAGTCGCAGACAAGAAGTACCTTTTGCACGAAGCCATAGGTGAAGGGTCATGGACTTAAAAAAAAGGAAGGTCTCAGATGGCGCAAGCTGAAGACACAATTAGACATATATATCATATATCAATCAGTTCTCTTTATGCCTAATGGCACAAGAGACTTAAGAGAGGACTTTCCATGCTTTCCTGTTCTATGCAATCTTCAGTGTAGTTTGCCATGTCAAAGATGCCACACCCAGGTCACTTTCCATCGTTCGTCTCCATGTTATTTTTTGGGCACCCATTCTTTCTCTTTCCCTCTGGTATCCATGTGAGAGCTGTTTTGCCAGCATATTAGGATTCATTCTCATAACGTTGCTAAGCCATTTCTATCTTCTATTGGTTATCATACTGTCTAGAGTTTCTTGGTTTGTGACTTGAAGTAGTTTAGTGTTTGAGATTGTATCTGGCCAGAAAAATTTGATAATTCTACGTAGACATGTGTGGTGGAAGGTGGACAGCTTGTGTGCATCCTTTTTGATCATTCTCCAGCATTCTGCTCCATAAAGAAGAATTGACAAAATGATGCTGTTGTTACTCTGCCTCATTATTCTAAAAGCAGCTTCAGCTTTCTTTGTTCAAGCGAATTAGACATGGATGCAGATTTGATAATATTGGGCGAGGATAGGCCTGGGCCAAAGCGTATGAGCAACAATAGAACTTGCATAGGATTAGGAATTGGAACTTTGTGCTTGCTGCTGAATATGGTGAGGGAGCGTTTGTGAAAATGGTTTGAGTGATGTGATGCAGAGCCTCTTAGAAGTATCATGGCCCCTGGGAAAACCAATGTGCTGGGACCCCTATGATTACAAATCACAGAAATGAAATCTGTATTTATGGCAAGCCACCTGACATACCCAGATTAGCTTGGGTCTCTGTCTGCTCGCGGGACCCGGGGTAACGGTACAGTGGACAGCTATAAGACGGCCCCGCTGTGATACCCATTCTTGATTCAACATTCGAATACCGTTTTAGTTTTTTTTTCTTTCGTTTACATTTCCGGGTTAACTATTTAACTTCTTATAGCTGTGTTGGTGTGTTGACTGTGTTGGACGTTTTCTCTGTACTATTTGATTGTTTGATACCTTTGTACTCCACAACATGAAGCTATCCCCGTAAACTTTAAGAAATGATTCTTCTCGTTGGACCAACGTCTGTCGGAAAGACGTGTCTGCTAAAACGGTTACAGAATCCAAGTGAGCGCTGTAGTGTGTTTGTTAGTGTGTAGTTTAGTCTCTGTTTTCTCATTCAAGTATTTGTGATTTTCAGGCAAGGAACCAACACAGTCTGTATTCCAGAGAATGAGATCTGTAAAACTGATGCACACGCAACACTCAGGTTCTGGAGCAGGACTGCAGTTCAGTAGTGGACGAGCAACCAGATCTTTCCGCCAGAATGTACAGCTGGTGAACGCGAAGAAGAAGAAGATTAATAATAATAATAATATCAGGATTAGCCTATAATTTTTGTATCTCCGAATTTAATAAATGTTATAATTAAAATATAAATTATCCAAGTAATTTTTTGGTGATCATGATCAGGGTGTTTTAAAGGTTTATTATTGTGGAAAATAAATGGACATTTTTTCATGTCTTATGTTATTCTTCTTCTTCCGTTCGCTTGAGTAGATTATCTATATCTGCAATATTTCTCTAGTGTGAACTTCATTTGTCATATATAATTTTAGACAATATTGGTACGATGCTAGATAACACCCTGGGCATATTCCACACTTTCCAGAGTGCAGTGAGAACACAAGAATATAAATATATGTTTACAGTCAATACATCTGTCTCTTATTTACTTTATACATAAACTGAATATAAAAAGAATTCAGCCTGAACTTTTTTCAGGCCTAAAAAGATATAACATGAAAATAAATACTACTAAAACTAAAGCAGTGCAGGTCAGAAGAACTCCTAGTCTGCTACATATCGGGTTGAATGTACTTGTCTGAAGCATAATAAAGAATTAGGCTCTCCTTTCAACTACGGCTGGTAGACAACAGTAGACGGCCATTTAGTTGGAGTTCTGTCCCCTGGCTGCAGTGCTATTACGGACTGGACAGGAGGAAACGAAACAAATGACATAATTACTGTGTGTTGGCGATAGACAGCGTGCACTGCCCTGCTATAATCATACGGTTAGGGGTAGGGTTAGGGTGTAGGTTAGGGTGTAGGTTAGTGTCGCCGCATCTCATCTTTGCACAAACTCAAAGTAGCAACCCTAACCCAAACCCTACCCCTAACCCAAACCCTAATCGTATGATGACAGTAGGGCACTGCACGCTGTCTATCGCCAACACACAGTAATTATGTCGCTTGTTTCGTTCCCTCTAATCCAATCCGTAATGCGTCGCAAGAAGCGGTAATTGAACGTGCCGCTAATTTGAGTCGCAGCGCGGGGTCTGCCCGGCATGTCGACCTCACTTTGTTTTCTGATTCATGCCTTCTCCAGTCCGTAATTGCACTGCAGCCAGGGGACAGAACTCCGACTAACCAGCCGTCTACTGTTGTCTGCCGGCCATAGTTGAAAGGAGAGCCAAGAATTTAAATATCTTGGAAGTATATTCTCAGAATCAAGAGAATAGATTAGGAAATAGAAACAAGATGCCAACGGGCAGTGCACTTAAATACCGACTGACACCACTGTTAAAACATCTAAGCATAAGTATAAGCTGCAAGAAACAGACCATGAACAGCATATTCATACCAGTACTGGGCTACCAGTGCCAGACTTGAACATAATCAGTGCTAACCTTTGTAAAATTAACACCTGGGAAATTAGATAACTGAGAAGATCGGCCAACCTAACCATCCGAGGCAGGACTGGAAGTGATATTACCAAACATACTGTAGGAACAACACCATGCAGCAAATTCATTGAGAAACAGAAGATAAAATGGTTTGGTAATCTAGTAAGAATGCAGCCAAAACTACTACCAACAGAAGCACCACATTTGAAAAGATGTGAAGTGAAAGCAAGAGACCACCCTAGGAGATGATGGATTGATGACATTAAAGAGCTTCTACATCAGCACAGAATGACAATAGCCATTGCAGCCTATCAAGCAGTGGATCATAAACTGTTCCTTCCCACAACACTTAACTGCAGAAGTGGAGACTGATGATAATGATCAGTATTCTGTTCAACCCATCTGGGTTATACTTGGGTTATGTATTTTTGTTTTTTTTTTGTTTTTGTATTTTAGTAATGGATATGTAGGCTTTTTAATCAGTTTTTTAAATGTATTTAATCTTGCATAGATTATGTTTTAATTGTACTACTTCGTAGGACTATTGATTGTTCAGTGTCACAGTACATTTTTAAATGTTGTATTTTTCTGTTTATGTTTAACTGAAATAATTAATTTTTAATAAAAGTTAAATTGAATTATAACATTGTACTTGTGAGAACACAGCTATCAGTCTGCTGTTATACATGTTGATTGGCAGAATGGAGTTGATGACACCGTTAAAGCACTGTAAGGAAGGAGTGAGAGAGAGAGAGACAGAGACAGAGAGAAGGAAGGAAGGAAAGACTTTATGAATTACAATATTTTGTTTTAAACTCTCAGATCTGTCAAGTGTCAAGGAAGATTTGCCAGCAACTGTACCCACAGTAAGTATGTGACTATAAAACCTTCAACATTATTTTTCTTATAGATATTTTTCAACAGTGTAGACAAGAGCCAGTTTTAACATACAGCTGTGAATCCTGGATAATTAATAAACAAGCGGAACAATCCTAAGCCCTCAGAAATATGGTTTTACAGAAGAATCCTTAGAATTCCTTGGAGAGCTAAGAAGAGTAACCTAGATGTTTTGAATGAGGCTGGTGCTCGATGACAACTTATCACAAACATCAGAAAGAAACAGTCATCATTCGTGGTCATGTTTTGAGAAGAGTGAAATTGGAACATGTTGTGACCACTGGAAAGATCTGTAGAAAGAGAGGCAGAGGAAGACAGTGCGAGAAGGTTCTTGACCGCCTTTTCTCATGGCATGGAGGGGTGTCAACACACAAAATGATACACGCAGTTGCGGATTGTGGAGAGGGATGATCGCCCTTGCCAGTTGGCAAGGCACTTAATAATGATGAGAATAATTACACACACAAAAACTGTCATTAACTGAGGTATTGACCACTGTTGGGGGGGGGGGGGGGGGGTTGGGGGGGGGGGGGGGGGGGGGGGGGGGGGGGGGGGGAGGTCTCAGGATTTAGGGCTGCATGGCTAGAGCTGTCACCATGGACTATGCAGGTTTAAATTTTATTTTTGCCCCTGACGGAAAAAATCCCGAACCCTACTGAGGATTTGAACTTGGATCTCTACTGTAGAATAGTAAAGTAAGTAAAAGTCTCTTTTCACACCAGTGGTGCATCAGGCTCAAGGTGCTGGACCCATTATCTTATGGACCAACTGGCACTAGATGGTGTTGGTGTCAACATCCTGCCGGCTGGCTTTACTTCGCAGGACATGTCCTGGTACCTATTGTAAGCTGGGCCAACCTGAGAGGCAAGTTCAGATGTAAAAATCTGTCGAAGAATGGATTCAGAGTCAAGATTTTATGGTAGAATAGAAGAAAAGCCCACAACCTTACTGGAGAATCAAACCTGGGTCTGTTGCATGAGAGCACAGTGTTCTTAACCATTTGGCCAGCTGCTCCTGTGTGTAATAGGAGCAACCCTGACAAACTAGCAACATTATTGTTATTACTGTTGTTGTCTCTTCAGGTGGGCACAAACCTTGTGACTGTGACATCCCTGAAGAAAACAGAAATCACTCTGAGAGAGATGGGTGGGGCAATGGGTCCTATCTGGCACAATTACTACAAGGAAGCACACGCCATTATCGTATGTAGTTTCTGGTTTGTTTCTGTGAAATTTCACTGTTGCATCTTTTTAAAGTTTCCTAGAAAGCTTAGATGTAAGTTTACTGTGATATTATCAGCAAAAACTTGCTTGTAATGTTTTTTTTAAAAACTGAATGCTGTTTATGAATTATTTATATGAAACTTATTACAATTAGGAAATCTTCGTGATATGTACAGACTGATTTGTCCCCTTGTCAGAGAAAGCTAGATGTACAAACCACTACCCTCGGATCAGGGGGAAAGTATAGCATTCGTATTATTATTTTGTAAAAATTCAGGCAGTAAATACCGTGAGACAGACCAGGTCTGCTTGAGTCAGAGGCAACCTCATAACATTTATTTATTTCCTTTGTTCCTCTCCGGGATTGCAGCTTGAAAGATTGACACCCAGTGACTCAAAGAGACATCCTTAAGATGCAAACCCACAGTAGCAAATCTCGTTTCAGTTTTAAAGGAATGCAGTGGTGCTGAACCACAATTGGTGGTGCACCAAGCCCTAGGCACAAACTGGCCAAGACTTTTGTACAACTTTCTGTGCTCATCCTTGAGATAGTTTCCCTACTAGAGCCTGGCCAGTGTAGATAGGATCGATATTTCCTTTGAGGTCAGAGTGCATCTGCCTGAGAGGCAAGGAACCAATAGTCTGCAAACAAATAAGCCAGGTCTGTGAAATGGGTGTTGCCTGAAAAACTCAAATCCTGGAACAAGGCCAGATTCCTGAAGTGAACTACCGGCCAGGACTTGCCATTGGAGTTTACAACCTGTGAATGCAGGCCCTTTGCCACTGCTCCTTGCCCTCGTTGTCCTAGATCCTTCTGGCCCTGTGTTGGGCTTAAAGTCACCTCCGGGCTCACAGAACTCAACTTTGGCCCTCATCATTTGTGATGGACGAACAACAAACAAAAAAGACATGGTAATATTTTAATTTTTGCCCCTAACAAATAAAATCTCTGCCCCATACCTAGGATCGAACACAGGTCTCCTGCCTGAGAGCCTAGCACTCAAACCTAAGCCCCTTGGTAGAGCTGGGGGAGGATGCTTGACCACTCAGCAGAGTGACAAAGGAAGAAATAAGACATCAGATAATTAACCGTTACAGATGTTAATATGTGACATTGTTCTTTGTAGAATTTCGTTGTTTTCGCAACCTGGGTCTCTTGCCAGCTCTTCTGTTTCAGTCACTTTCCTACCCAGGGTGTCTTTTATATCCTGTCCCCATCTTCATGCTTATGGGCCCTGCCCTTTTTCCTGGTACTTTGCCTTCTGTCCTTATTCTTTCCAGTCCTCCGTGGTGCTTGATATGGCCAAAATATTTCAGTTTCCAGGAAGATGGTGCTATTTACTGGCTAATCTTCCTTGATGTTTAGATCTTTTAATATGTCAGTATATATTTTCTTCTTTCTATAGCGTTTCAGCATCCCAAAAGCCCATAGTTTTTTTCTTGATTGTGAGCGACTCATGTCAGTGTGTTGCTGCAGTGAAAATGCATGCTCTCCATATTTTAACTTTGATTACTTTGCTGCTGCTTAATCATAGACTTTTAATGCTGTTTAATGTTTGCATTACTGTGATAGTCATCTTTTAACTTCTGTTGAACAGTCTCCATTGCTGTTTGTTCTGGAGCCTAGATATTCAAAGTTTGTGGCATTTAAAATTTCATCATTTATTTTTAGATGACAGTTTTGTCTGTGGAAATTACGTTGTGTTTTCTTTAAATTCAGGAACAGGTTTTAATCTTCACCATGTTTTTGAGAAACTTGATAAAATGTTTTTGGAGAGACTTGATGAAATGTTCTACTCCCTTTACACTTCAAAAAGAACACAGTCCTCTGCATAGCAGAGTTTTGGATTCGGGTTGCCGTCAATTATGAGTGGATCATAACTATTGCAAGCCTGGTCATTTTTGACATTTCTATTTTTTCTGTATATATATTGCGTAGATATGGTGAGAGAATACACCCCTGCCTCACTACCATTTTAGCTCAAACTAATTTGATGTTTCTCCAGCTACTCTGATGGCTGCTTGTTGTTCATGTTATAAACTTTCAGTTAGCGGTACCAAATATGTTGGAAACCCCGTACTTCTCATGATGGTATTTAATTTATAATTTATAGACCTTTGTATGTGAACATATTTTTTTTTTTTTTTTCTCACAGTTCATGATTGATGTGTCCAGGCATACTCAAGTTGCCGTCTCTTGTGTTCAGTTGATGAACATATTGGCACATCCTTTCACACAGACTGTGTGTGTTCTTGTTCTTCTCAATAAAACGTAAGTTCAGATTAAGCACATAGTTATATAACACTTTCTCATATGGCATACAACTGTGTGCTTCTTGGATTTAATTAATTGGACACAAATTCCTAAATCCATATAAGCAGTGATTTTAGTCGGGCTGAACCTGTTCTTTTCCTCATTTGGACTAGAAAATGTATATGTTAAAATCTGTTATTCATCCCCCATGTGGGTTCCAAACACCTATTTTAGATTTTTCTAAAAAAAAAAAAAAAACGAATAGACCGCCCCTCCCCCCGCATGCATGTAATAGGCGACTAATTATAGTTTTGCTAGATATGTTGGTTGGATATGTTGGGCTGAAAGATGATGATTTTGCAGCCTAGTTGCAGACCACAATGCACCATGCCAGCCGCCATTGTTAGTGTAAATACAGAAGAAGAATGGAATAATAAAAGGCTAAGAATGATTAACCTGTCATAAGTGACCTAAAATGGGGGTGTACAGAGGAGAAATAACACTAAAACTAAGGACAGCTTTGAATCTTTGCCTTTGTGGTAATTGTCGTTGATATGTATTGTTGAATGGCATGTAAGGGTGTGCTGAGGCAATTGGCACTGCAGCCAGTAGTCTAAAGGCCCCCTAGCTTCTCTTTGGAGAGGTGAAAAGTGAACTTTAAGAAGCCTGATAATGACCCATAGAGCACCTACATCAAAACCCACTACTCGTGGTGCATCCCAGATTACTGAAGCTTCGAGGTTTTGGGGTAATGGCTCCCCTGGAAGGAGTCAGGCACTCACCAGGTCAAAGTTTTCCTGCCCTCCCACATGACAGGCCTAACAGTCTGGCAGTGGTGTAACCAACCACTACTACACAAGAAAGAATATTAAATTATAGGCCACGACCTGGTAGCAATGAGACAACAAAAGAAGAAAGAAGAAGAATGTTAAATGAAAAGGACCCTTTTCCTTCAGGCATATTGGGCACATAGGGCTAGACCTATATTTTATAGACAAATCGGCACTTGGTGGGTAATGTGGTCAGCATCCTGCCAGGAGCCTTTACTTCCCAGGACTGTATCTGGTACCCATTCAAGGCTGGGTCGCCCTGGAAGAAGGTCATTTTTGAAACAAAAAGTCTGGCTCCGCTAGGACCCAAAAGGCCAAACCTTCTGTTTCACAGGCGAGCGTCTAGCTTCTACATCGCACGGCTTCCAAGTATTTTCATTACCTACAGCTTATTGCAGCTTCCCTGTTTGTTTCAGAGATATACCCAATGGGATGACTCGGTCTGAACTGGAAAGCTTGATGAGGTTAGATGAAGTCATCAGATGTGCTACACAGAAGATCACAGTCTTGGAAATTAGTGCTAAAACTGGACACAACCTAGAGAAAGTGGCCAGATGGGTGTATGATCAGAACAAGCTTGAGGAAAGCATTGCTACTTGATTCAACAGTATGAACTTGTTTGTGATATTTATAGTATAACTATGGCTGTACAACTTAATAGTTTGAACAGGGTTCTGTAATATTTACAGTTGAACTTTATGCTATGTAACTCAACAGTGTGCGCACACACGCAATATTTACAGTATGTAACTGTTGCCGTCTGACAAAGTAATGTGAAAACTATTGCTGTCTTGTCCAACAATGTGAACATTTTTGTTGTATTAACAGTGTAACTTTTGCTGTCTGATCCAACAGTGTGAGCATGTTTGTGATATTTACAGTATAAACATTGATGTATGATCTAACAGTGTATGTTTGTGATATTTTCATTATAATTATTGATATCTGATCTGACAGTGTGCAAATATTTGGCATACAGTATATGTCTGATCCAAAAGTGTGAAAACGTTTCAACAATGTAAACATGTTTTTCATATTTTACACTATAAATATTGCTTTCTAGTCATCATATTGATTTCATATATACATGTCTGAACAGAGCTAGTAAATTGTGTTATATTTAGCTTGACATTATAAAGGAATTGAATGTTGTTTGCTCGCAGATTTTCTGGAGAAAACGATCCCAGGAGATTTTTTTTTTGTTTTGTTAGGTTTTGTGAAATGTTAAAAAAGAGATGTTAACATTTAAGAAGACAAAAAATTGAATCTGTTAAAAATTATTTGAAAGTAAATGATTTGAAACCTTCAATGCTGGAATTTGAACTTGAATTAGAAGTGAGAGAAAAGAAACTTCTGAGAAAGAAAAAAAAAAAAAAAAATGAGAGCTTCTGAGAGGGAGAGAATTCGTATTATTATTCTGGATTTAATATTTGCATGGCCAAGTTAGCGCAGTCGATAGGAGGCTCGCTTTCAAATCCAGCTGTGACTCGCTGCAGCCCACGGCCGGTGTTCGAAACCGGGTGGCTCCCGGGGTTAACCCAGCCACTAGGAAATGGGTACTAGTTAACACTCTGGGGTAAATAGAGGAACGTGGCTGTAGCTACAGAGTTACGTGTAAACGGTGACACAGGTGGACAATTTCTTATCAGCTGTCCGTACTGGTGGCATAGCACTTATGGTTTATAACCATGTGCAATGACGCTGGTTTACATCTCCTTACTTTACCTTTTACCTTTACCTTGTGGTTAAGTCAGTCAGTCCGCCCGGGTTACAAACAGGACAGTGTGTCTAAGGTCACCATCACCATTTCCCCCTGCAGCTTGTCTTGGGATGCAGCTCCACTGAGCCAGATCCCCGACCATTGCAGGAAATTGTTAGAGTTATCCTGCAGTTTATGCTGAGGAGTCTTGCCTGTCTGCTCCACAATTACAGGCAGCAGATTCTATATGCCTGTCTTGTGGAGATGTGCTCTAAGACTGCAGTGTCTTGTACCAAAGCATAAAAATTCATATTTATTCTTTCATTTTGAGTTTGTTTATTTGATCATTCCAGTCTGTAGTCTCCATTTTGCTTTCAAGAGAGAATGAAACGGCAGGAGAAATAATCAGTGGTTCAATTTATTAATAAAACTAATAACTGGGGATGAACAGATGGTTAAGAACACTAGGCTGTAGTGCGGGAGACCTGGGTTTAAATCCTTGGTAAAGTTGTTGATTTTTGTGTGTGTGTATGTGGTCAGGGCAAAAATAACATCTTAGCTTGCACAGTCCATGGCGACAGCACCAGCCATGCAGCCATAAATCCTCAAACTCGAAGGTCCCCCTGCTTACAGTGCAAAAATAGTAAATACTGGCAGAAAAGTTGCTTGGCATGTCACATGATGATGGTAGTGAATAATGATAAGGGTAATGATATGGCTGTATGTTTAAATATGAGATTTTTATATTTTTAATCCCTGTTTCTACTAAAATACAACATAAGAAAAAATTGATTTGTAGATAGCAAAGCAGTACACATTTTTATTTGCATATTTCATAAAATAAAACTCTGCAACAGTAGAATAATGTACTTCTATTTAACTGGCAAGTTATCCATGTTTGTTAGATAAAAACAACAATAAAATCACATACAGATTATATACTCTGTACTTCTATTTAACTGGCAAGTCGTCCATGTTTGTTAGATAAAAACAACAACAAAATCACATACAGATTAAATACACTGTACTTCTATTTAACTGGCAAGTCGTCCATGTTTGTTAGATAAAAACAACAAAATCACATACAGATTATATACACAATGTCTTCTTAGACCCAGGCTTTACAGCTTCTCTCTCAATTTTTTTAGTCAACATTTTTTGGTTTAAAAAAAAAAAACATTGCAGTGAATTTGTAATGATATTAAAGATTTCATCATCTATAGACCAGATGGTATTTGGTGGGTGATCTGGTCAACATCCATCCAGTCACCTTTACTTCCAAGGACTTTTACCTGGTACCCACCTACTCCAGGCTGGGTCGACCTGGGAGCCAAGGTCATTTTTGAAAAAAAAAGTCAGGTTCTGTCAGGACCCGAACTCACAACCTTCTGTTCCATAGGCAAGCATCTAACTGTTACTTTTTAAATTTTTTTTATATAGATACAATTAGCTCAGTTGTCCAGGTATTGTTTCGATGTATTAACTTCACATTCATGGCGGCTGAGTGGTCTCAAAGTATGGTGTTTGCCTGGAGTGTTGGAGGTCCCGGGTTCATACCCTCATGAAGGCTGAGATTTTTTCACATGGACTTCTAGTAATTTCCTTTAGTCTCTGGGTAGTAAGATCGGACGCCCATGTGTATTCTGTGCAAAAAAAATCCCTTGGCAGTTGGAAATCAAAAAGAGTAGCCTAACGGCGCTGCCTGAGCAAAATTTGGAGTTAAAAATCTACCCAAAGTATTTTAGGATCCCTGCTGGCGCAATGGAGTTTGTACACTGCGCAGGCTTGAGTTAGAAGTAGAACGGAGCCACTTATGGGTTACAACCCGTGTGCTATGACGTTAATCTGTTGAATAAACATAAACAAACTCCACATTCTTGGTAATAGTCTCTAAAAACAATGCTCTTATTTCTTCTTCTGTGTTCAGCCTTAAAAGGGTGGTTAGCACTTTGTATGGTGCTTTTCAGACAGGCTCGATATGTGTACCTTTCAGCTCAACACATCCAGTTTCAGCAAAACCCTGATTAGTTGCCTTTTGTGACATGCTTGTTATTAAGGCAGTGAGTGTGTCTGTCCCCTTTCCCCCTTTTCCCTCTCCCAAATGGGGTCTTGTAAATGTTTTTATGATCATTGAAGACTGACTTAGTAGGATAACCCCATAACAAATACTTTAGTGAAATTCAATGATATTATGCCTTTGTAATCACCAGACCACCCATCTTCTCTGGTGTGCAGGGTTTGAGTTTTAACAATGAAATGTGTAAAACCAATTTAGGTAACTTTGCCATCATCATCATCAATCAACAGGTGTTTTTAACAAAGCGTGACTCTCTTCATGGCACACCTGGAGGTATCTCTTTCTGTAACCAATTCTCCAGCCATGTATAACTGTACCCTCCATCAATATTCTCTCCAGGCCACAATGTGCTTTAAATGGCTAAAATATTTCTGCTTTTGGGACATTACCAATCCTGGTCTAATGCTAGCCAGTCTGTACACGCCTTACTGAATCATGACTTGATTATATCCAGAATGCCTCTTCGCAGGTGGGAAGTTCCAGTATCAGTCCTACACAAACACATCATTTATGAGTCTGGAGAGAGGAAGGAAAGCTTTGCACTGTAGTTTCTATGTTGTTAGCTCTTTGGTAAAGGGTTGAGAGGTTGCCTTAACACTAATCTCGCTCCAATAAAGGCTGTCCTTTTCAGGACTGAGCCAACCTCAACAACAATGCTTCATGTTAGGCAACTTCCTGTGTGGGTTCTATTTTGGGGGAAGAAAGAATGGACTCACTGCTCCCTGACAAACATGATGTAGAACGTGACTTATTAGGGCTTTTCCCTTTAAAATTTGAGTGCATCTGCCTAAGAGGCAAGAAACCAACAGTCTCTGTAAAAAATGACCTAAATCTGTAAAATGGATATGCACACAAAATTCAAGTTCTAGAACAAGATCAAAGTCTAGAAGTGGATGAACAACCAGTACCGAATTTTACAGCTTATGAAAAGTAAAAAGAAGAAGTTTAAAAGAGAAAACTCAAAGCTCTCAGGGAAATCACTAACCAACGAGAAGACACTTGTATGCCATGCAGTGTAGTAAACAGCTTTTCTTCCTAGAAAATGTTCCAATACTCATATTATGAGGCTGAGTTAATCCATCACAGGCAGATAAAACCCTGTCTTACCACTTTATTACTGCAGAGGAACGAAACTCCAACTCTACAAGAGCATCATTTTGCCAGTTCTTCTTTATGGAGCGGAATGCTGGAGAATGACCAAAAAAGGATGCACACAAGCTGTCCACTTTCCACCACACATGTATACGTAGAATTATCAAAATTTTCTGGCCAGATACAATCTCAAACACTAAACTACTTCAAGTCACAAACCAAGAAACTTTAGACAGTATGATAACCAAGAGAAGATGGAAATGGCTTGGTCACGTTATGAGAATGAATCCTGATACACCTGCCAAAACAGCTCTCACGTGGATACCAGAGGGAAAGAGAAAACAGGGGCACCCAAAAACAACATGGAGACGAACGATGGAAAGTGACCTGAGTGCGGCATCTTTGACATGGAAAATTTCACTGAAGATTGCACAGGACAGGAAAGCATGGAAAGTCCTCTCTGAAGCCTCATGTGCCACTAGGCATAATGAGAACTGATATATATATGATTACCACTTTTTGGGGATTGGGGAATATGCCAGCCAGCTAATCACCACAGAACCATAGCATAAAGGTGTGCATCTAATGCATATGTCCCAAGCATTACGTGGTGTGTTACTTTTATAAATGCGGAGACGCTCGCCCACAGATCAGAAGGTCATGGGTTCGGGTCCTGGCGAAACTGGGCTTTCTCCAAAAATGACCTTGGCTTTCAGTTTGACCCTGCCTTGA